AAAGTGGCAAATCTAGATATTATAAATCCTGAGAGAGCTAGGAATTTTAATTTGTGCTTGTTTGTTTAATATGGCGCAGATATTTAGTGCTTAATTTAAAAAAGTGTATAATTTTAATTTAGATGTTGCTATCTAAAGTGGTAATTGCTTTAATAAATAGGTATACATTAAAATCTTAAATTTTCTGTGTTCTGAACTCCACTACTAAGTGTGCGACTTCTTACAGGTTACTTAATCTTTTTGTAGCTCTGTTTCTTCATCTGTAAAATAATGAGTTAAACTCTAAACCCTAAAACTAGATTTCTTACCAAATGGAGAAATTTTGCCTCAACTATTGAAAGTGTACAGGTATTAATGCCTCATAAATGTGCATAACGCTTTGTCTGGAATAAGTCAAGGTAGTTCCTGTTTTAGGATTTGAAAATAAAAAAGGTCCAAACAGGTAGAGTCAGGTGTATGAGAGATTCTCTTCGTGTGTAGTATGGTAGATCTACATGATTGGAAGAGGTCTCTAAAGCATGCTTTGAGCCCGAAAACAGTAGGTCAGAACCTTTCCAAAGTCTTGAGAAAATAACTTCTCCAGACATGATGTCCTCTTCCAGCAATTGATCCCTCTTGATGGCGTGTCCAAGGCAAGCGAGTCAGACAATATTCTGTTGTAATCCATAAATTTCCACTGGCTAATTTTTGGGAGTGGATAACCAGGCCTTTCTTCCTAGTCTGTCTTAGTCTGGAAGCTCTGCTGAAACCAGTCCACCATGGCTGACCTTGCTGGTATTTGAAATGCCAGTGGCATAGCATCCAGTATCACAGCAACATGCAAACCACCACAGTAGGACAAACTGACAGACAGGAAGTGGTAAAATAACTTAGGATCATAGTATTTAATTTCAGTGTTTATGGCATGTACTCTTATCCTGCCCTGTCCTCCCCCCCACTACTTTTAAGTAGTCTTAGCTTCTGTCACATTCACTATTTTGAATATTTGAATATCCCAGAAGTAAAACTACAGAATGCCATGAGCATATTTGTTACTGATGCCAAACCACCCTCCAGTTAAGACCATATTACACTGCTACAAACTTTCAAGTTTATGATGAGAAGGTTGAATTTTCTTACGAAGTTTTAAATAGTTTCAATTCTAACTTTGTTCATAGAGTCTTTTCCTTAGAAGAATCTCTGTATATTCTTAAAGAAAACCCTAAAACAAAAGTTAACTTCAAATATCCAATGAAAATTTTCATCAGGAAAGAAATTCTTACTCCAGACTAAAATAGATTTTTTTTAAATTGGATTTTAATTACTTCCTATTCCTAGTCAACTCATATTTTATATACATCAGTTTATTGTGCCAGTGGTAGAATTCTTGCCTTCCATGTGGGACACCTGCATTCAAGTCCCAGCCAGTGTACCTCATGCACAGCCACCACCCATCTGTCAGTGGAGCCTTGCGTGTTGCTCTGATGCTGAACTGATTTCAGTGGAGTTTCCAGACTGAGATAAACTAGGAAGAAAGGTCTGGTGATCTACTTCTAAAAGTCAGCCAGTGAAAGTCCTGTTGATTACAAAGGTCCAGTCCACAGCTGATCATGAGGATGGCACAGGACCCAGCAGTGTTTAGTTTTGTTGTGGACGGGCTTACCATGAGTTGGGGACCTACCCAACAAGCTGTAAAGAAAGTATAAATTACAGGAGCCAAGGAATAAATTAGTGCTGTAGGAGATGAGGGTGGGAGAAAAGGAAAACTTTATTTTGGCTCTGAGTTACTAAATCGTGATGTTTGTTTAATCTCTTTTAATGTTTACTCCAGTCAGTGTTTTTCTCTTTTCCTCTTCCTCTTCAGCCATCAGTGCCACCTAAGTTCTTTGTCTAGGTTAACTTGCATCAGTTTGTAAGCCTAACTTATCCTATCTCAGTAACATGAACTTTTCACAGGACTTCTGAGCAATTTCTCTTTTTCTAGAGTTCATCTTTTTATTTTCCAGTATTCGTGTGTGTTTCTTCCAGTGCTTATCACTTTTCTATCCTGTATTCTCTCATGTTTCCCACATTATCTGTTGTAGCAAATTTAAACGACACACTTTTAAGAGAAGAGTGAAAATAATTTTTTAGCTATATGCAAGTTATTAGCAACAGCTTCTCTTTCTCCACATATACTTAAGGGGGTCAAGGAGTCATTTAAACTCTTAATTTGCTACAAAAGCTAGTCCAGGTACACCTGTGAGTCAGCAGGGCAGATATTATTCTTTCTGTTATACAGATACGAAAACTGAGACTTTGAGACTGTAAATGAATTGCCTAAACCGATTGGTGGCAGTGCCAGGATTCATAGAAATTTGGAGCAGGAAGAAACCCAGTGAACGTTTTACTTTGAGGAATTTAAGATTCATATATGTAATTTTCCTGAAGTCACCAAACTAAGTGATAGAATAGAATTCAAGTTTCTTAACTCGTAATATAGTACTTTTTCTTAACATACTTTCTCTTCTCCCAAGGTGAAAAGCAGTGTACAACTGCAGTATTTTTAATTCATATATTTCAGTTTGGGTTGGAGATGGAATGCAGCTGCCATATTAGTTCTCGAACAAGTTTGGTCATGTTAGTAAAATACATTCATAATATTTATTGCATTTTGAACTGTTCTGAGACTTAAAACTTAAGTTGAGGGTAGTAATCATCATGCAAAAAAATTTTCTAGTACTCTTCCCATCCCCTCATTTTACTGTTTTATGAAGTCATTCAAAAGAAATTAAAGAAGTATAGACGTATTTAAGAATAAATTCAACTTTACATGTGTAACAGATTTTGGGATAATCAGGTTTAGAAATTGAGTCTTAAAAATGGCTATTGTTTTAATCCTTGTTGAAAATTTTTCTGAAATGTTTTTTCTCTGTTCTTAACTGAGTTAAATTTATTCATTTATTGACCTGTTAAAGATCTTGTAAATGCTGCAGAATTATTCTATATGTCTGTTGTTTTTCATTGTTTAGTAGTATAAATATAGAAGGGGTAGTCTATTAGTCTGAATATACAGATTTCAGATATGTCTTAGATACTCGTGGTTTTTTGTTTTTTTTTTTTAAGTAAATCCCAGTTTATGGTTATTTCTTTCAAAAGGAAGAAATCTGTGTGAACAACCTGATACTCAGTCACTAGGGTAAAGGGAGAGAGTAAGAAAGAAATGAGGCCTAGGAAATGAGGATTCTAGAAATGATGTTTAAATCAAGGATATTTTTAAGTTGGATTCTAAAATGGTAAGTTGCAGCTAATATGATGAAAATAATCATTGGTTCTGTTGTAAGATCTGAAGTAATATTATTGCCCTTGAGAAAAGTCGACATTGTAAGTAACATATTTGATGATATTGTTCAACCTACCTTTTATGTCTCCTGAGCAATAATAGATATTCTCTTTTTCTTTAATGTCAGTATTTAATATATTGAAAATAAGTGTGAAACTTCAGTGTAAATAGCTTGCTGTAGTATACACGAAGAATTATATTCTTCGTGAAAGCAAACATGCTTTCAGCATCTTACATATTATTTAATAGTGATGGATGGTAGGTGCTTTAAAGACAAAGGAAGAAAGAGAGCATTTTGGAAAAATGGTTTGTTCGTATACATCTAAATATTAATGTGTTTTCTCAGAGACTGAAATTGAGTAAGAGAGAATTTTGAAGTTCTGGTGGTTTATGGAAAGAGCCCTGGTGATGCAGTGGTTAAAAGCGCTGGGCTGCTAACTGAAAGGTTGGTGGTTCGAACCCACCAGCCACTCCGTGGGAGAAGCATGTGGCAGTCTGCTTTTGTGAAGATTTATAGCTTTGGAAACCCTCTGGGGCAGTTCTACTCTATCCTGCAGGGTCACTATGAGTCAGAATTGACTCGATGGCAGTGGGTTTGGTTTTGGGTTTTTGGTGGTTTATGGAGAGAGTTGATCAGAGATTGCACCTTGGCTGAGTTGCTGTCTGCATAGGCTGTTAACAATTGTTTCTCTGGCAGCAGATCTTGTTCATCAGGATTGCATCATTTCTGGGAGAATGGCCAAGGTCCACAGCCTCAGTACAAAGACTGTCTGAAGCATATGAGGCCTGTTCTCTTTCTGAAGCGGCACTCCTCTTCCTGCCAGTCCTCTTCACAGGATTACTGAAGCAGACTTGTTCTGAATTTCTTTCATTGGATTGGCTGTTTATTAGACTCTTGTCTTCCAGCTGCTTCCGGCTCACCTGGCTGATGCAATTTCTTTCCCTGAAATCTCTGTTGGAATTGTTCTTAAAACAGTTTTTGTTTGTCTTCTCAGAGAGTGACCAGACAGATCACACAGGTCTTGTGCTTTCAGCAAGTCATAGAGAAGGATCGTCAGAATTACAAATACAGAGACTATTAGCCTTTTCTGAGCCCAGTTAAAAAGACAGGGATAATTATAAACCATTTCTGTCATGTTCTCTTTATAGCCTTTTCTCTAGAAACTGTATATGAATGGTGACGCCTCTAAAGAGTACTCAGTAACTGGGAGATTGGCTGGTTCTGCTTCTGAGTCCCAGAATTTCCTAATGTTCCTATGGATTCTGATGGGATTAGTCTGGAAATAAATATAAAATTGAAATTCTGATGTATTCATTTTCCCCCTGCTATACACCCACATACTTTTTCGTCCTGTTCTTTTTTAACATTTTTTCTTATTTGCTGTTGCTGAAGGATGAGTCTGCTTCTTCCTTTGGTTTCTTTTTTCTTTTTTGTTTTATTACCTTCATAACTTTTATTTTTATACTAATTCTGAGTATTCTCTTTTAAAATTGCTTCTAAAGAATAGCTCATTTTTTCAATTTTTAAAAAACTGGTGATCCATAAAATAGATCAACATAATAACTCCCTAATGCTTGGTAGGTGCCCTGGTGGCGCAGTTGTTAAGAGCTCGGCTCCTAACCAAAAGGTCAGCAGTTGGAATCCACCAGCTGCTCCTTTCAAACCCTATGGGGCAGTTTTACTCTGTCCTATAAGGTCGCTGAGTCGCAGTCAACTCGACGGCAATGGGTTTGGTTTGTGTGTGTGTGTTTTGTTTTTTTATGGTTTGTAACTAGATTCCCACTAACAGCTCTTTTCATGTATGTGATATACCAATATTTCAAGTGTTAATAACTAATGTTAAATTTGATGTTTTGAAGAAAATACTGAAAACTTAAGAGGAATTGACCGTTTTTCCTTTAAAGTCCTGTCACCTATTATCCTTTCCTTTTTGGATGGTAGAAGGTGAATTGAGGCTCCATTTTCAGCATGTTTTCATTATGCAGTTGACCACAAATAGAACTGACTTCTTGTCAGTCTGTTTCTATAGTAGGACAAGAGGATGGGTAGTATGGAGTAAGGGGAAAGAAAGGAATAATATGGATTTGTACTTTAATAGATGATGGATGATGGTAGGCCCTCTTCAAGCAGAGAGTACATTTGATGTTCAATTAAAGAAAAGCCTCTGAATTTGGGAAGCTGTCCCTGGAGAGATTAAAAGAAGGGATCCTTTGGGAAGTGGGAGAGCATTGCAACTTGAAGTGGAAAGAAAGGATTAGCCAGTAACATATTGTTAGTTGCAGTCGAGCCGATTCCAGCTTGGGGTGACCCCGTGTGTTATAGAGTAGAACTGCTACATAGGATTTTGTTTGTTTTTGTTGTAATCTTAAAGGAAGCAGATCGCCAGGCCTGGGTTTGTTCAAACCGCCAACCTTTAGGTTTGCACCACCTAGGGACCTAGCCAGTTGACATAAGGTATTTACTATTTCTTAAGTCAAAAGATAATTTCCTTCCCCACCCTTTAATTAGCCTTTTCGGGAAAATAGGATATAAAGGTTAAGCATAAAGATACAGAACTGGATGGAACATAGGATGGTGAATAAGGCAGTGTAAAGAGAAATTATAGTTAAATACGTAGTGTTTCTATGTAATTCCATTCTGTGTGTATCAGTGTTCTTTCTTTCTATACTAATTTCTGTCTCAACTTTTTCTAGGTCTTCAGAGCTACTGGCAGATAATTGTTGGGACTTCATATTCAAAGGTCTATAAAAAGGTGACTGAGCCAAACAATTCTTTTAATTTCTGTTTTATTTTTTGCATTTTAATGAATACTAAAATCATATGTTGAGATAATGATGATCATACATTCATACAGCAAATATATCAGCCACTGTTCTGGGTATTGGAACTACAGCAGTAGACAAAACAGTATAACTAGTAAACTTGATAACTTACACTAGGAGTTTGTTGTCTTGGTTTATAAAGCTAGAGTAATTACAATAAGATTGTATTATAGTTGATTTGTTGAAAGTTCTTAAGTTAACATTTTAATAGCTACATTTTTCACGGGGAGTTATTTAGGGAAGAAACTATTCTCAGAGTTATCTGAAAAATTTGGATTTGCTGTTAGAATTTGAATTAAGGAGCTGCATTATTATGAAAGCATTGTTTAGAATGAGATGGCCAAGCCAACATATTATAATTGCCTTCATTAGAAGAGTGGAAGAGTCTTGTAAAACTAGACAAAAGGAAAGTGGAGGAGTTAGTGAAAGAGAAATTTATAGTTAACTATTTAATGTTTCTTCAGGTTGTTTATCAGCTATCCAGAATGGCTGAGTTGAGTTTCCACTGGGGAATATAGAAATCATTATTTATTAAGGAGATACTACCTTTTCCTTTTAGCATAGCTTTTAAAAATTATTCTCAAAGAAAAAATATCAACGAAGGTTTATAAGTTGTGTTTTATCTAGATGCCTACTTTTTTTTGTATTTTTTGTGAATGTTTACACAGCAAATTAGGTTCTCATTTAAAAATTTCTGTACATTGTTCAGTCACATTGGTTATATTTTTCACAGTGTGTCAGCATTCTCATTATTTCCAGTTTCATTGTTCTGTTTCCATTAATCTGGCTTCCCTGCCCTCTCCTCTTACCTTCTTATCTTTGCTTTACAGTAAATATTGACCATTTGGTCTCATATAAATAATTATTTAACGGAGCACACTACTCACAGATGATATTGTTTGTTTTATGAGACAATCTATTATGTGGCTGAAAGGTGACCTCCAGGAGTGGATTCAGTTCCAAGTTTAAAGGGTGTCTCAGGGCGATATTCTCAGGTGATCCTCTAGTCTCTGCCGATCCAATAAGTCTGGCCTTTTTTAGGAATTTGAGGTTTGATCTACATTTTTCTCCCATTCTATCTGGGAACATCTATTGTGTCCTTGGTCAGAACGACTGTTAGTAGTAGCCAGGCACCATCTAGTTCTTCTGGTCTCAAGGTAGATGAGGCTGTGATTTGTGTGAGCTATTAGTCCTGTAGGCTAGCTTCTTCTTTGAGTCTTTGGTGTCCTTCTTTCTCTTTTGTTCCAGAATCCAAGAGTTGTATCTTACATGGCTGCTTGCAATCTTTTAAGACCCCAGACACTGCTCACCAAACTAGGTTGTAGAACAATATCTTTACAACTATGTTACGCCTGTTGACCAAGTTGTCCTCCAAGACTGTGGTCCTAAGCTAGAAGCCCACATTTTTTTATGGGCATATAATAGTGATAGGTTTTTAATGTCATTTGGTGACTTTGTTTACTGAAATTATAACACATGACTGAGATTGCCTGTACTGGTCGGGGGAGAAATGATAATTATCAGATTATCTGGTCAGACAGCCTCTGGGCTTTTTTTTTTTTTTTTTTTAATTTGAATTACACAGTGATATCTAAAATTAGAGTTATAACCAGCAGTCCACAAGATTTAACTATGCCCTTTGGGGCTTATTTGATAAGTACTTTCTATCAGATCTTATTTCAGTTTCCCATAGGCTTGGACGATTAACTGCCTAAGTCTCCCTTTGAATATATTGTTAGGGAAAGGAAACATTTATGTGTATATAGGCCCAGAGGCAGAAGATTACATCAGTCAACTTCTCTTCTATGAGCTATGAGGAAGTAATAGATAAGATTTGAACTCCTTTGCACTTCAGTCCCCCCAAGTCTAGCAATATGTCACCTCTAGTTGGGTAGAAACAGGTGCATTGCCACACTCAGGTTTGATTGTGAGGATGACGCAGGACTGGGCAGTGTTTCGTTCTGTTGTACATAATGTTGCTATGAGTCAAAACAGACTCAAGGGCACCTAACAGCAAGATTTATTTGGTGAGATCCAACTCCTTCAGAGTCTTAAAGTGCCAGAGATAACTGCTTGGTTTATAGCTGTTCTAGCGTTCTAAGGTAATGACACAAAAAGTGGTAATGTTATCTTTCTGCATTTTTTTAAAAAAGCTTTGCTTGACTCACCATTCATTAAGTAGTTTTCTTATCCACATTAATTTGTCTCATGTATCACAATAAGATTCAAGCTTCTCAAATTGTCTACCATTTAAAGTTTGCATTAATCCCATGGATTGATTAAATCGATGTATACTTTTTATTCAGTTTAGGTTTTTTAGTATAAATGATTGTTTGATTTTCCCACTGTCTTATTTGCCTTCCATGAAGCAATATATCAGTCATGCTTTTTTTTTTTAATCTTTTGGCAAAAATCTTTATTAACCTGGGTCTTTAACACTCACATTGACTTTCCTCCCACAGAAGATACTTCTTATTTTAATTTTTAATGGTTTTAATAGTTTTAAAATCATACAAAGTACACTTGTTTCTCTTCGCAGCATACCCCCAAATCTCTTAATCTGCCTTTGCTTTTTTACACTTCAGTAGTTTGTCTTTCTGTTCCCATATTCCACTGGTTTGTGATCATCAAGTCAGGGTATCTCACTGCCTTCCCATACAAATGCTCTAATCTTTATCATGAAACTGTACTCTTTGTGCTTTATGTTTTTTATCGTATCTGGCAGGATATATTACCTAGCAAATATAGTTGTTAAAGTAGTTTAATTGTATCTTGCCCTAAAATTATAGTCTAAGAGTATGCTGTGACAAATGAAGACAGTAAGAAACAGCTGTATCCTAGCAGTCCAGGGACAAGGACTAGAAGGCAGAAGGGGACAGGATAGCTGGTGATAGGGAGCCCAAGGTTGAGTAAGGACAGTGATGTCTAGTTGGGTTGTTAACCATTGTCATAGGGCAACATACATATAACTGTTTAATGAGACTGTTTTGTTCTGTAAACCTTCATCTAAAGAAAGAATACCAGCACAACTGGAAGAGCGTAGTCGATGTCACTTAACTGTGCATGTAGAAATTTTTGAAATGGTGTCTCTTTGGCTATGTATATTTTCACCAAAAAAAAAAAAAAAAGGTCGAGAAGGGAGAGGGTTGACATGTCATGAGGTTTATAACCAATGTCATAAAAAAGGTTGAGAAGAGAGAGGGTTGACATGTCATGAGGTTTATAACCAATGTCATAAAACAATATGTGTACTACTGTTTAATGTGAAACTATTTGTTCTGTAAACCTTCACCTGAAAAACAAATAAATAAAAAGAAAGAAAGAAATACAACATTTTAAACACACAAAAAAAGAAACAGCTGTATCCAATCAAATGTAAATAACAAATTGATGTCTTATCATATTTAATTTAGAAGAATTAACATTATTGGCTACTCATAAAACTGCATTTATTTGTGGCCCAGTTAAAAAGTTTGAATACCTTGAATTGTTAAGGAGTTTAGGTAAACTAGGATATTTCTAGTAACCGTTCTGTATCTCAGTGCTTGTTAGTTATATCCTAGGATGCCAGAATATTTTGTTCGATGGACAGTGTTAGAATGGGTAAGATATACTTATTAGTAAGCTAGGCAAACTGTTACTTTCCCTTTGGCTGAAAAGATTTAAAAAACTAAAATAGAAATGAAAAAGCATAACTTCTTCGCTTCACTTCGTTGAACATTAATTAAGTACCTAGTAAACATAGGACAGCGTGTACATCTTGTACTTACTTGGTTTACAATTATCCCTTAAATGCTTTCCTTTCCCCAAAATGGAAAAAAATGGAAGGATTCGGTAACATTTAGGATAAATTTAAAGAGCCATCTGGTTACTGGATATTTTTCATTTTCTGTGGCAGGATTCCTCATGTCCATAACATGTTGGTTGAGGCTCTGCAGCTCACCCCCACTCTCAGAGTGGTCCGTCTCCATTAATTGGACCCCGTGATTTTCACTATCTGCTGTGTTGGACGTCATGAGCATTGCAGTCCCTCTGGGAGTCACCACACCAGATACATCCTACTCAGATATGGCTGCTGGATCAGAGTAAGTGCTACTTCCTAGATAGTAGGTACTATGTCAGTTTGTTTGGAGGCAGCTTTCTTATGGATATCTAATAATAAATATCTAGTAACCAAAGCCCGTCCCACTGGAAATTGTAAATGGCATTAGGCCTTTCCCTTTTCTCTCATAGAAACTGGAGGAAAAAAGGAATTAGAAGGGAGAGGAAAAGTGATTTGGGGGAGGGTTTTCTGAGTAAATGATTAATAAGATTAAATTTGCAAAGTAATGATTACGTTTTTATTTGTTTTTGAAGGGTGGGGAACGCTGAAATAAAGTGGGTGTCACTACCTGCTTCTGTAGAGTTAATGATTATCCTGATGGGGGGAGATAAGGAGGTGTATTCCTTCCAACTGATTTTCCTTGAAGGCCTCTTCCTATGTACTTCCCTTTGTTGTAGAGTAAGGGGGCTGAAACTTGATGTGGGCAGGTTACTTAGACTATCTAACATTTGGGGTAGAAAACATGGAGAGCAATGTCATATGTTCTTTTATAATATTCCTTGCCTAGAAAGAGGACCTTCAAAATCAGTGGTACCAAACTTTTTTTTCAGCTAAGAGCAGCTTTAGGAATTCAGAGTTTGTCGAAAAGCCCAACCCCTAAAATAGACTCAGTTCTTGAAGAATTTAAATGCCAAATGACAATGAAGGTAGGCCTTCATTATACGACTTTATATATTATTCAGTTTTTAAATTTTTAGCCTTTTGTATCCCTTCTCTTTTAAGTTGTCCAAGATTGCCCCTGCTCACAGATTCCCCTCTTGTCCTTTTACCTCCCTTGTACCCGATCTTCCTTGCTTACAGAAAGGAAGTGGAAGCCCCCTACCTTTCAAGACGAAGTGACACTACACCAGGATGTGAAAGTCCAGCGAAAGAGACCCAAGGGGCCTAGGGGGCAGCACACCCCCAGAAGCCAAGTCTATTCCAGGCAGTACCAGGGATTAGGGTCTGGGCTGGAAAAATCCTGGTGTTTTGAATATGTTCAGGTCCAGTTCAGACTCTTGATCCCACAGCCACTTCTTGAGTGAGGTGGGTGTTGCTCTAATTCCCCTGTTTCTCTTGCCAATTTCACAGCCCCTGGGGATTCTTTCCCCTTTCAGCAAAGCAACTGTACCAGAACTCTGGGTTCAACTGCATCCCTGATTAGTAGTGGTTTTCTTCCTTAAAACTGAGAATATTATTAAAGAGCATGTGTATTTCTTCACAAAGCCACCTAAGATAAGTTGTCTATTTACTGAGTGGTCTTAAAAAGGAAAATTTAAAATAAAGCTACCCGAGGAAGTAGTATGTTCTAGGGTAGTCTAGAAAGCAGTTTTTGGGCATATTCACATATAAAAAGGAGGAAGGGGAGTGGGGAATGGGGGGTTGTATTCTTTCCAGGGCTTTTTTCTTGTTTCGTTATTTTTTTTTTCTGCACGCCAAAGAGATTTAGTTAAGCCACAAGATTTGATAGTTCAAATTTTAGAACCATTTCCCAAGTAAAGTACTTAAAAATCTTCCTGCATTATTAAGTAGGCCAGTTATATAGTATTGTTTATAGATTTTTATAGTCAGCTACTAACCTCCTGCTATATGGATTGATTAACAAACTATGTAGGCAGACAACATTAATACTTATGAGAAATTTTAACAGTGACATTAAACCAATGCATTTTTGATTAGTTGATAAGAAAAAGACTTGAAGCAGTTATTCTTCTTAAAACCGATATTTTCCCCAGGTTATAGAGATAACTGCCCATAAATTTTGCTAAGGAGACCAGAAATAACTTCTTGTCTAAAAATTTGGCTATAATACTTCTGTTAACTCCAGCATATCCTAGGATGTCCTGAAATGCTTTCATCCGTAATCTCCAGACAAGTTCCTGATACTGATTCGTTTAGTCTTTCTACAAAGCAATAAAATATCAGCAGTTAGCCTGTGTACCATTCTGTTTTTACTGAGATTTAATGCTTCATCATGCAATATGCCACTTTTCTGGGCACTCTGAAACTAAACCTGGTATTTAGGACAGCCTACTCAACCAAGAAAAAGACCTAGACCTTACCTCATGGGATTTTAAATCTGATGGCAACATTGTGCAATGTGCATTTTTTGTATGTTTGTAGGAAAACCTGTAAATGTTAACAGTAGAAGCAAAGATTTTTCTGAATTCGCTACTCTGGCATAATAGAATATCAGACATTTTCCAAGATGCGGCATTATAGCAGCAGGCTGCATGTTGTACTTCAAACACAGTTGGTGGAGTGTATCTGTCGTGTGTATTTATCCAGCTATCATAGTAATTCAGACATAGGAGAAGAAAGGCTGCAATTACATTTGCATAAAATGGTTGGCTAACAAAAAGATGCAGTCCTAACACTCCAGATTTTTAATTCATATTTTAAAATATAGATAAGAGCTGATCTATATGTTAAGGAATATCTAGAAAATCCTCTAGTTACCTGTCAATGTCTGTCTGTTGTAGTTGATCTATGACCAGTATGGAAATTTCAGAGTTTCTTCATCAAAAGATAACGAGCTGAAATTTTAACATGTGACATGCATGGCAAGATGTTAAATGCTGTGCTTGACTAGAAAGTATTATGCAATGGGATGGCCTGTTAACCTCCACAATATACATTTTATTTTTATTCCCTAGACTTGCACATGAAGTGCATGTGTTCATATTAACCCAGTTTTGGAGATGGGTAAGATACAACCAACATAGCTCCATCTCCATGGCCATCTTTAATTTCATGCAACTTTCCTTTCTCCAGCACCCCCCCCCCCAAAAAAAATCATTTTAATAACGGCTGTCATGTTTCACCCCATGTGTTCAGTGGTACAAAAGCTCCCATATAAAATATGTACAGCTTTTTGTAATACTTGTTAAATGTATCTAGTAAATTAACAATGTATAAAATTACTTTTAACTGTCTGTCATAGAAACAAAATTCTGCTTTCATTTTATTAATGTTTGTCTGCCTTTGGTTTCATTTAGGAAACCCCACCTGTTTCCTAATATTCAGAACTGTTTTCCTTAGTGAGCCATGTTCAGATCATCTTTTTCTCAAGAATACTGACCTGCATTCTTGATGTATTCCCCCCGCCCCGCCCTGTCCACCACCACCTCCCCAGTTCCCATCTTGCAAACACTCTTAAGTAATAAAATGCATGCACTTCACTAACAGAGAATACTTTCCTGTGTCTAAAGTTCTTCTTCACCTAGAAATTACCTTTGCTGTTATTAATAAGATCCCTTCTCACAGTTTTGGAGCATATAACTGGGTGAGTTGGACACATATCTTAGAACTTTCTTTTATCCCTCACTTCTCAGCTAACATTGAACTGCACACTTTATTCCTGCCAAGTAGTGTATATTGTATATCCCAAGCAGGAAAAAATGTTTATTACTTGAAGCAAACAGTATGCATTATTTGATTCCCTAAAAAAAAACAAACCCATTGTTCTTTAAGGTTGAGTTATGCTGGTCCTTGGAGTTTCTAATTTGTGAATCTCTGTTCTGGTTAATTTAAATATTTAAATGTTATTTAGTTTTGAAAAGTTAGATAGTTTCAGTCCTTAATTATCCTTCAGAATTCCCCAAAACAACCAGATAATAATCAGAGTTGAAATTATTTTTCTCAAAAACTTGTATTTGTCCATTGCCACCTAAGCCTTTTTATTATCTAGTAAAAGCTTACATTCAATTTCTAAATTTTTAAAATTTGAATATGTTTATAATCCTTTTATAAAAATAAATTGTTTGAACAGTTTACTTTCCACTGAATGAAGGTACAAAAAGATACTAAATCGAGCTTTTCACTAAGCCTGGTGACTAAAGTCTCATAATTTTTTTAAAGGTAGAATGTTCTCATAAATTTCCAGACCAAGAGGCACAGTGGAAAGAGCACAGGCTTTGGAGTCAGACAGATAATTATGGTTTCAAATACCGGCTCTGTGAATTTGCAACCTTGGGGAAGTCACTTAATCTCACAACCTCAGTTTCCCCTTTTGTAATAATGGGATGATATTTACCATGTTTAGTGGCTGCAGAGATTAAATGAATTAATATATATAAAGTACCTAGCAAATAGTGGATGATTAAAAATGATAACTGCTAGTACTGTTATTTGTCACCAGACCAACATAAATTCCCAGTACAATTTTGATTATTTTGAAGTACAGTGGTATTACCATGCAGCTGTTAAATAATTGTATCCTTGATATGCTTGCATGTCATTGGTGGATGAGAAATTATTACTCTGATTTTTGAAAGGTATTTGGGGGTTCATCAAGATAAGAGGTATGATAAATATAAGATGCCGTTGTTTTTACCTGTACTTTCTTCAGGGTATCCTGTCTTGGTAGTGAATGGAAGAGGGCCTGGTCCCTGGGGCAGTACAGAAGGCACTTTCATCATCTCACTCACTGCAAATGTCTTGTGAGGTTTCATGGAAGTATTAAGAGATCCAATTAAGAAGAATAGTTCTGAGTCTAAACCAGCCCAGAGTGGCTTCTCTAGGGGAAACTCCCCGCTCAGCTGGTACGTTTGTGTTTGTCATTAGGGACACCTTGTATCCCAGGTGCCTGCCTTGAGACATCTGCCTGTACTGGCTTCATGTCACACACAAATCCACATTTAATAACACTCCAACTGTTATTTATAGGCTTAGTTATGTTAATCAGATTGTTCCACTGAGTTCCTCCTCTTATTCTAGTGGCTGGTGGTTGTGGAAAGAGGAGGGATTAGAATGGGAAGTGAAGTATTAGTTGAAGGGAAGATTAGGTGTTATGCTATCATGCATTGCTTTTCGCCTTTGTGCAGCCCTGAATCTGTGGAGGCTAGTCCAGCAGTTAATGAGAAGAGCGTGTATTCCACTCATAATTATGGGACCACTCAGAGGCATGGGTGTCGAGGACTGCCTTACGCTGTGAGTATGCATTTGTTTCTCTCCAGAGCAGTGATCTTCCTGGAGTGTAATCCATTCTTATACATGGTGACTTTCTTGAAATGTTTATATGCAGCATGATGAAGTTGCCCCCTTTGCACTTCCCTGCCTCCAGCGGACGTCTAGCCCTGCATCATTGTTCTTGTTTTTATGTCCCAGTTGACCTTGGCATTTTGTTTTATCACTTTCCTGGTTGAAGCCAAAAAACGAAGGGTACTACTTTCTTCTTTCTTTCCATATGTACCATACTTTAGGGGAGAGAGGGGCCAGTGTTTGGACACTGTTGATTTAAAAAATCTTATTTTCAGGATCATAATTACGGAGCCCCTCCTCCTCCGACACCTCCTGCTTCTCCCCCTGTCCAGACGATCATCCCTCGTTCTGACCTGAATGGCCTGCCGTCGCCCGTAGAGGAGCGCTGTGGAGACAGCCCGAACTCTGAAGGAGAGACTGTTCCTACCTGGTGTCCTTGTGGTCTTTCTCAGGATGGCTTCCTTCTCAACTGTGACAAGTGCAGGTAAGATCACGTTCCATCTAAATTGAAGCCTGGGTTGCTGGGAGTAGGGTTTCTTATTAGTGGGGAAAAGCTCAAAGTATTCTTTCTTGTGTTTGTTAATGTAGATGATTCCTTAGTGCTCCTTGGCTCGAATTCTCTGCACTAGGTGAGAATTGCTGACAACAAGGAATGAGAGATTGATGTTAAAGCTATTGAATTTGATATGAAATTTAATGTCCTGGAAACATTTGGTAGGTGGGAGGGAAGGGGTAGTATATGCAGAGACACTTCTCCCATGTGTGCTATGATATGCTGCATGCTGTTGGAAGGACTACTTTAAGTTTATTTTCCCTCTTTAGGGGAATGAGCAGGGGGAAGGTTATTAGACTTCATCGGCGGAAGCAGGACAACATATCAGGTGAGTGGAAGATGTTTTTACGTATAAATATTTTGTAATTTAAATGTTCATTTCAGTAAACCCTCCTGTAAGTTCCCATGGTCCCCCATCTCTTTTAGTGGAAAGAGATGGAAGTCTTCTCATGAACATTATAGTTTTCCCTTCTTTCTTTGAGATTGCTTATTTTTTTTCTCTCTTTATGAATTGTTGGATCCAGAAGCAGCGTTTTAGCCTTGTAGCAATCAAAGCATTCCTTGTGAGCACGAAAAACAGATTGAGGCATTGGAGCTTGGGGATTATGCATACAAGGGGAGAAATAATATGACATAGAATGGGGTTTATGCTTAATACCAAGAACATGGAAAGAATATTGTTTTCATAAGGATGATGGGTATTTCTGTTGTTCTGCAGATGATAGAACCGATAGTAGAAATAATGACTTTCTAGGTGTGGGGCAGGTCGAAAGGAATAAGCTGCTTTTTATGCATTTTTGAAGCAGTTAGTAGAACATATCCATGAAGTAACATTTTTTTTCAGGTGGGGATAGCAGTGCAACGGAAAGCTGGGATGAGGAGCTTTCTCCTTCCACTGTGTTGTATACAGCAACACAGCACACACCTACAAGCATCACCTTAACTGTTAATCGGGTTAGGAGAACCAAACCCAAGAAGCGGAAAAAGAGCCCAGAAAAGGGTCGTGCAGCACCAAAGACGAAGAAAATCAAGGTATGGAGGGTAAAAGTATCTTACATAGAAATACGTCTGGAGTAGCTCAAATTTTGGAGCAGCAGTGCACTAAAGCTCTTTTAAGAAGTTTGATCCAGATGTTTGAATGACCACTTTTGCTTTAGTTGCAGAAATTGGCTAATCTGTGTATGTACACATAGACCAACCTCTCTTCTGCCACACCGTACCATCACCACCCACACAAACTTTCTTCTACTGTATCCCATCCCAGGTATAAAATCCCACCCCTACATGGCACAAGCCCATATGTGCTGCAGCCTCCAGACTAGGCTTCTACTACACATAGCCATTACCCACTTCCTCAGCCCCAGAGCACAGCCTGAAATTCTTGTCCTGGTTACGTGCCTGCCTCATGTCATTGGGTTGGTTGGTTTTTGGTTTTTTTTTCCTTGTTTTAAAAACAAATCAGGAAACATCTCTTGAATGGTCTAGGCTTCCTCAGTGTTGTGATCACTTTCCTGTATTCTCAACCTGAAAGTCTCTATGAGAAACCTCTTCTGTTTTGTGTTCTTTCTTCCCCATCATAGCAACTTTGTTGCTCCTAGGTGACTTGCCCACCCCTTGCTAAGGGGATTGGTCTTTGTTTCCTTCTTAATTTCAAAAACTGATAAATCAGCCACCTTAAAGTTTTTATTTACTTTTTCTTTTAGTGTCCGGGTTGCATATAGGATTGAAATGATGCATGCTCTTACCTGTTAATTACATAGCTCCACAATAGAAAATATTGGAATTAGTCTCATAGTTCATTGGCCTTGAGCTACCCCCTATTCTTGATAATAGTTTGGGGAATTCCATTATATCTGTTACCTAGTGAGAAGGGGACAGAATAGAACACTAGTTCTTGCCTTAGTTGTAGTCTCAGATAGGTATAACTGTCATTCTTGGTACCAAGTTTTGTTTTGTTCTACTTGTTTTCCTCTTTGGGATAGGCATTTCGAGAGGGATCCCGGAAGTCCTTGCGGATGAAGGTAAGGGGTAATCTTCCCTGATGCTGTGTTTTACTTCACTGTGATCTTGCATTTTGGTCAGCTTCTTTCCTGACATTGATGGTCTGGGAATCTTGGATTCTGCTTTTTGTTAGTTTGTAATTGTTGCCATTCAGTTTTCATAGAGCCTTTTTCCAAAGTAGATTTTCTTGGCCTTTTTCTGAAATATTTTCCCTTTCTGTAATCAGCTTTCACTTATTGGTTTTCCATTAGCTGCTTTTTTGGGTGGTGACATTTTGCCAAACAAAATGAGAGGCTACTGTGTTCTGTCATTATGATTGGCCTTGAACTCAGGACTGAGGTTTTTCTGTTTATGCTATAGGATCTCTTGTGCACCTACCCTGGTACCGTGCTGGAAGGATAAATTTCATCAGTAGAAAGCTGTATTATTGATAGGAAGTACTTTTATTGGAGTTGTTTATTTGTGAATTTTTTTGGCATGCCTGTTTGGTTTAGAAGATTCAGATGATGCTAGAGTGTTTGTTTTCTTCAGTTATCAAAAAAAGAGCTTATTAGGCATGATTTTGGAGAGGTTGGAGAAGAGAAATTATATGTGATGGTTTAAAAAGACTTAGGTACTGAATTGGCCAAAAGGAAATTTGATTATACTGTCTGGTATCTTCCTTTACACACGCGTGCATGTGTGTGTGTACATGTACATATATACACACACACGCAGCATACCTCCCAAATCATTACTACTTATGGCTTCAGAGCATTTAATTAGGATTAAGTCCAGTTTAATTTTATAAATACTCATATCCCTAAGTGTGGAAGTGATATAAAAGCAATATCTTTCCTATCGATAGTTGTATGGCATAAACATTAAAATTTTTAGTGAAGGTAAGCTTTATTATGATTATGTTTATGTGGAACACCAATATGACTGATGTTATCAAAGATCATAACTGGCGTTTTATCTATAAAATTTGGAGTCCTCATCTTGCATATACCTAAGACTTGCAAATACGCATAAAGGAGATGGTAGAGAACTTACAGCCAGAAAACATCAGAGGCCTGGGATCTCTTGTAACACAACTTAATTATTATTTCTCTGATACATCATCTCCTCTAAGGGGCCAAATTTTTTTTAACTGCTCATTTATTTTTGTCTCATTTGCTTCGAGGGAGCCTTAACTATACTTACGGGGTAGACACAGTCCTGATCTTAGCTTTAAGCTCTTATCTCTCTTGTCAGCTAGCTATCTTACCTCCACTGGTTCTTAACTTTTGGAAGCTATCAACTGACTCTCCCAGAAAACCAAACAAATTTTGCTTATAGTTTCAGGAAGTTGACAGATATCCCCATACCTGTTGCCATCAAGTTGATTTCGACTCATAGTTACCCTAAAGAACAGAGTAGAATTGGCCCATTAGGATTTCCAGGGAGCAGCTGGTGGATTCGAACTGTTCACCTTTTGGTTAGCAGCTGAGCTGTTAACCACTACGCCACCAGGGCTGCAAAATCACTATAACTAAAACCAGACGAAACTCATTGCCGTCAAGTCGATTTCAACTCCTGACAACCCTATAGGACAGAGTAGAACTGCCCCATAGGGTTTCCAGGGAGCAGCTGGTGGATTTGCACAGCCGACCTTTTGGTTAGCAGCCATAGCTCACTGTAGCTTTTAACCACTGTACCACCAGGGCATAGATGTGTTAAAATTTAGACAGTCTTTTTTATTTTGATTCTGCTCTCAGAATTTTAAGTTATGGATTTTGTGCTCATAATTGATTCTTTAGTAAGAACTCAACCAAAAATCTAGGTGTGAGCCATAAGAAGGAAAGAATTTATTATTTGGGTTTGTAATCATAAAGTCTTCCCTATTGGAGACTTAATTCTAAACCAGGGTTTCCCTACCTTGGCACTGTTGACATTTTGGATCAAGCGATTCTTTGTTCTTGGAGGGCTGTCCTGTGCATTATAGGATATTCACAACATCTCTAGTCACTACCCACTAGGTGCCAGCAGTGATCTCCCTCCACCCCCCACCGCCCACCCCTGTGCCCCAAGTTGTGGCAGTCAAAAATGTCTGTAGATGTTAACAAATGTCCTCTGGGAACAAAACTGGCCCTGGTGAGAACCACCGATCTAAAACAATTGAGGTGGGGCCTGCAGTGTCCTGAAGAATGGGACAGTAGAATAGGCACAGAGTAGAATTAATGGAACAGCAGCTTCCAAAATACAGTAAATTTAACAAGTCATATTTAGTGGTTGCTTCTGGATGCCTAAAGCTAGGAATATTGTTTGGGACTTCCCTAATCCCCGGTCTTATAAAAGCACTCTTGAGTCTGAGATTTTGCACTGTTCTTTTGCTTAGCTAGTATTGACACCTCAGGCTGCTTTTAATGTTAGCAGGTGATATTCTGTTGTAAGTGTGTTGGCCTTAGGTGTTTCTTTAGGCCCCGTTGTTTATTGCTCTGCCTTTTAGACTCTAGTGAGAAATGTAGAAAACCGCATTGTTAATTTTCTACTTTCATTTCCCTGTTTCTTGGGGAAAGGATGGTAGACAGTAATCAGTCAGCTACAGTGATGCCAAAGCAATGAAAGAAAGTAATTGTTATAATAGGCATAAGCATTTCTATTCCATACATGGAAAGTATATTTAATTTTGTTACGCCTGTTTTTTTTTGCAAGTTTAGTGTGGACGTGTGTTTTCAAGTAGCTTTGATACTACAGTGTCTTTTCCTTCTGCTCATCACTAGCATGATGTCATCACTGTCGGTGTTTGTTTTGTTTTCTGATGGCACCTTAAGTCTTCAGCACCATGAAGGAGAACATGTGTCAGACTTAAGTTGTGTCTCTGTAGCTCAAGCACATATAGAGCTGTTTGTTTAGGATGATGTTGCTGAGAGAAAATAATCTTTTCTCAGTACTGTCACCATAGAAGGCAATGTTTGTTCTAAGAAATATAGCAAAGTACCTCTCAGCAGACATTCTCTACACTTTCTCTACCCCCTTCCACCCACACATACTTCACTTCTTCAGAATATTTAGAATCTGGCTATTTAAACATCAAAAGCAGAGTGCTGGAAAGATATGCTCTAAAATGTTAACTTTTTCTATGGATGGTGAGATGTTGGGTTATTTATTTATTTGAGTCACATTTATTTTTAGAATGAACACATATTCATTGTATGGTGAAGATAACACGATAACAAAGATAACAAAAAGAAAACCAGTCACCTGGAGAATAGCAGAATAATGCCATTTTGGCCTGGCACACTAACGGATGTTCGATAAATATTGAAAGTTAATATGATATTTTTAGATCTCTACTATTCTTTTTTATGAAGATTTTCTTAGGAATTTAATGTCAGTCATCTGATAAGAACAAGTTGATTTTTATCCCTTATAAGTGGTCATAAAATCACAGTAGTGGGGTGGAACTATCATCCAGATTAATTTCTTACTTTATAAGTGGGGAAACTGAGCTTCTAAATCTTTGTCCAAGGTCTAACAGCTCATTGGTAACAAAACCATGATCAAAGCCAGATCCCCTGACTCCCAGTCCATTACTCTGTTATGCCACACCAACTGCCAAGTGAAAACAAATTTTCTCTGGAAACTCAGCCTGCGTTTTTTCCTCCCCATTTTTATGTATGGACTCTCCTAACCCGCCTGACCTTTGTTCTCTACAGAATTCTCCCTCTGAAGCACAGAATTTAGATGAGAATACAACTGAGGGCTGGGAAAATCGGATAAGACTATGGACTGATCAGTATGAAGAAGCTTTCACTAATCAGTACAGTGCAGATGTACAAAACGCCCTTGAACAACATCTACATTCTAGCAAGGAATTTGTGGGCAAACCTGCCATTTTAGACACTATTAATAAAACAGAATTGGCCTGTAATAATACAGTTATTGGTTCCCAAATGCAGGTAAGGCTCAAAAAGTTAAAGAGTCTATAAGTGGTGAAGATTTTAAGAACCAGGAATTGGGCTTGGATTGGAATTATTGTTTCTTTCAAATGTATAAATCTTTACAATAATAAATTAAACGGCTATTGATCATCTTTAAGGAAAAGCAGGTTATGTATTAACTAGAAGCTGTCTGGATATATATTTTTAAGCTCCATTAATTAAAAATAGGTAAATTACAATAGGAAGTTTTCATACAGCCTAGATAGGAATTATGTAACATTAACAGATACCTAAGTTTGTTCTTTATTATTCTTTAATGTTGTTGTTAGGTGCCATCAAGTCAGCCCCCCACCCCACCCCCGAGTCACGACAACCCTGTGCACAACAGAATCGGACCGTTGTGATCCATAGCGTTTTTGTTGGCTGATTTTCAGAAGTAGATCATCAGGCTTTTCTTCCTAGTCTGTCTTAGTCTGGAAGCTCTGCTGATACCTGTTCAACATCATAACAACATGCAAGCCGCCACTGATAGGCTATGCTTGAGGTGCATTGACCAAGAGTCGAATCCAGGTCTCAAGCATGGAAGGCAAAAATTCTGCCACTGAATCACCACTATTCTGCCCCCCTTATCATTCTTACATAATTATAATCTTTTTAAAGAGGGAATTATTAGTAATATGAAGCCACTAAGTTCTCAATGATATATTTTTCTTTGATTTTTTCCCCCCTTCGGTGGGATGTCAGGTTCGCTAGGTGGAGTATGTTTCCTAGAAAAATTGAGCTTATACCAAATTCAGAATTTTCTGATCATTGAGCTAAATAGCATAGACAGATGAAACTTGAAAATTTTGGTGCCTTTTCTGCAGTTAGGAATATTCTAGATGTCTATCTAGCTGCTGCTTTGTAATGTTAATATTCTGGTTTTATTCAGCTACAGCTGGGAAGAGTCACTCGTGTTCAGAAGCACCGAAAGATCTTGAGGGCTGCAAGAGATTTGGCTTTGGACACTCTTATAATAGAGTATCGAGGGAAAGTCATGTTACGACAGCAATTTGAGGTCAATGGGCATTTCTTCAAAAAGTAAGAACATCGTTCATTGAGCAACAAGGGCTAAAGTGAATCTGGCTGACCAGTGTTGCTATAAAAATCATCTTGATTAATAGAATGTTCTTGGGGAAAATATTACAACTCATATATGCTCACGCCTGTCTGCTATTTGTAGAGAGGTGAAAATCTGCAAATTGTTTAATACATAAAGTGCTGATGACTCCCTTCCGAGCCACACATTCCTTGCTATGTGCTTGTTCTTTAATCAAAAGCAGACAAGCATGTGATGTTTTCCAAGTTAGGCATTGCAAAGGACTGCTGTTTCTTGTGTCAGCATATGCTTCATATTTGGCGTCTTGGGGTGGCCTTTTTATTTGTGTTGAGAATTAAAGGAATTTTAATTATCCCTAGACCATACCCCTTTGTGCTCTTCTACTCAAAATTCAATGGTGTAGAGATGTGTGTGGATGCCCGAACTTTCGGTAATGATGCTCGATTCATCAGAAGATCGTGTACACCAAATGCAGAGGTAAGATTTTTGAAGCAACTTCCCTTTTAGTGGAACCAGCAAAGGACAAGCTTACTAAAGAAGCATCTGAAAACTTCACCCAGATAAAGGTCTGTCGACTAATGATTTTAATCTTTCATTGTGAGAGATGAAAAACAAAAGTAATGACACTTTATTCTGAAAAGATGAGGGGCAAGGAATGGGTTTCCTTTAGAAATGAGGAAAAGTGAAAAAAGCAAGGTAGCATTTGCTAAAGAGAAAGAGCTAGACTGGATAAGTCAGTGAGATTTTATTAAAGAAATTGCTGTGTGATGGAAGATGTCACTAGACCAAAACCAAAGGCCATTTGGTTGCAATTTTTTATGTTTTAGGTAATGTGTGGTAAGAGAGATTCTAGACATTTCTAGAATTTATTACTCAGTAGCATAATCAGTGCAACCACATCAGATGCAGTAAGAAAGTCCACAGAGCTTTTCTTACAGGCTAAGGAATTTTAATTCCCTGGTAGAGCTGGAGACTTGTTTTTAAAATCTAGAACATTTTTGTCCCTGAATTTGTAATATCACAGGGTATCTCCATTTATTTCAAGAAGTATCATAAATTTTCAAACATGTCTCAAAACAATCATTATATAAGAGTGTTAGAGAGTATCATGGAATCAGATAACTACTAGAACTCTAGATGGGAGGAATTATTTGGGTGAAAGGTTTTTTTCCCCTCTTATGTAGAATTTCTGGTCTTTATAATAAATCACTACCCATAAGCCTTATTCACACAGGTGCGGCACATGATTGCAGATGGAATGATTCACCTGTGTATCTACGCTGTGTCTGCTATCACCAAGGATGCTGAGGTCACCATAGCATTTGATTATGAGTACAGTAATTGGTAAGACCTCAAAAACCTTTTTTAACATGAATAGCCTTGTCTTACATACTAAGCTATTCAATTCAGTTAAGTCTGCTTTTGTTCCTTGCTCCTTCCTTCTTTGTTTACTTAATATTTTCATGAGTAATGCATTTTTTTGCTTAGAAATTGTAGAGAGAAAGATTTTTATTTTTAGAGATACAGGTATGTCGTATGATAGTGCTCAGAAATCTAACAAGGATGTTTTAGTTTATGCCTCTATAGCAAGAATAGCAGAAAGGGTATATAAGATACTCCTAGAAATTGCAGTAGCATGTGTTATGCACAGAGCACTTGTTCAGGGGCCAGATAGAATGAGAATTTAAAGATTCACTTCATCCACTCAGATCATGTAATCTAGCTGTACGTGACTATCAGAAAGATAACAAGATATACATGACTGTGCGGTAGGTTTTGTAAAAATAGATGCTTTCTCCCTTGGTCGTTTCAGGCAAAAAGAGGTTATGTGGTAAAGTGATGTTAGGCCCAAGTCTAAGAAGAAAAGGCATTCGTAATAAGTAGGGAATTAGTAGGTAAAAATAGGAACATGGTGAAAGTGAACCTAAAATAAATACGGCACTTCAGATCCCATCACTGATTCACTGCCTACTAAATAGCATAAAAACAGTTGTGAGACTTGAATTTATTGGGGGATTTCTTTCCTTTCCACTGGTCATATGAGTCAGGGCTATACAGAGCAACACAGAATATTGAAAATGTTTATAGGACTCTAATATCTCAGTTTGGAGCCCTAGTGACACAGCAGTTAAGAGCTCACCTGCTAACTGAGAGGTCAGCAGTTCAAATCCACCATCCACTCCGTGGAAACCCTGTGGGGCAATTCTGCTGTGTCCTATAGGGTCACTATGAGTCGGAACCGACTTTCTGGCAGTGGGTTTTAATATCTGTTTAATTTATTCAGAGACAATACCAGAGGAAATTACTATACTAACATTTCAAGCGAATGAATGGACAATGTAACAGATTTTCAAAGGCACTGAAACAGGCACTTTTGGTTGTTTCTTTGGAGCAGTAATTATAAAGTGGACTGTGCATGTCACAAGGGGAACCGGAATTGCCCTATACAGAAGCGGAATCCCAATGCTGCAGAACTGCCACTCCCACCTCCTCCAAGCCTACCCACCATTGGAGCAGAGACCAGGCGTAGAAAAGCACGAAGAAAAGAGCTAGAGTTGGAGCAGCAGAATGAGGCTCCAGAGGAGAATAATGACCAGCCACCAGAAGAAGTTCCAGAAAAAGTAAATGTATCCAGTGATCATGAGGTAATCAACCTTGATCAAATATTGTTCTATGGTATAGCTCATCTCCAAATGAAGAGATCCCAGATCGCCACATGTTTTTATGTAGAGAAGCTCTAATAACACTTAATGCCCTTTATATCAAGGTGGGTGTGTGTTCATTCGTTCTCTTTGTTTTACAATGTCAGGAACATCCTTTCGGTTATTTTCTAGGTTTTAGTCCAGAGAACAGAGGTTGTTATGTGTTTATCATGTTGCCCTGCATGAGTAACCCTATAAAGCACTTGAAAATGTTTCTAAAGAGTTTTAGGC